TTACTAGCAGCCCGTCCCGGCTTCGCACGGGGTAGACAATTATTTATTTTTGGAAATTTGGATTGTTGTAGTGACATAACTACAATAGTTGGACATATGCTACCGCAGAGTTTTTTGTAGACATTATGATGTTCTTCAATATTGTTGTACATTATTTTGTTCTATCGCTAATAGTTTCGGCAGCGCATTCGACGAAAGACATTTTAAGACTCATTTTTCTACACCTTCGGTTACATTGTTCAGATTTTATCAAGGATCCCTAATTTTTTTCAAAATGAAATGCCTAGCCTATGTCAAATTGGAAGAATGTAGCATTCTATTGGTGAAAGATTTTTTTTAAATCGGCCCAGTACTTTTTGAGCCTATTCATTACAAACATACAACAATAGGTACAAATCTTTCCTCTTTATAATATTAGTATAGATAAATCCCATGTAATGGGGCTAAGTATAGAGCCATGCTTTGGCACGAATGGGCCGGCTCGACAGGAGTGATACCACGGCCGACCAGAATACCGACGTGAAACAACGCTTGCGTTGTGTCTCCTCGTGTGAGTGAGGTTACAGGAGGCCCAATTACCCCTCCTCCCCTTCTCCAATCTCCACATTCCCTGAATCCCCAACATTCCTCAAATTCCTAATCACCAAAAGGCCGATAACGCACTTGTAGCGCCTCTGGTGTTCCAGGTGTCTATGGGTGGCGCCGATTGCTTACCATCAGGTGATTTGCATGCTCGTTTACCGGCATTTTTTATTTTTTTTTAGCCATATAATAAAATGTTTTAAGTCATTTTTCATTTATTCTAACACTCACCTGTAAGTAAGAGCATTAGCTTTGGCAGCAGCAAAGGCTTCATTCTCGGAGGCATTCCTGAAGCAATGGCGATGTGGAGTCAGAGGGAGGTTCAGGATCAGCCCCTCGCACTCTAACAGAGCCTCCTCACTGCTGGAGAACGAGGACCAGAACTCCGAGTTACTCATGTCGAGGGGAGTCGTCTCGTTGACTACCATATGGTGGTCGGCGTAACCGTCTGCATCCTGCAATTAATTTGAGGGAATGGTTAGTTTTTTGTTTTTTTTTTTTTTTTAAAACGTTGCCCCACATTAGGATTTTCTCCTGTGTCGTGGGTGCGTTTACAAACATACAAGTTCACATACACATGACACCCAGACCCGGAACAACAATTTGTGGATCACACAAAGTGTTGTTCCGTGCGGGAATCGAACCCGCGACCGGTTGCCCAGCCATCGCACCAACCGTGCAGTCTCAACCAGTTAGTGACATTTAACTATTGAAGATTCATAGCTTTGACTGTCTCGTTGGCCAAGTGGTCGCTAGTGCGATTGGCAAGAGGTCTCGGGTTCGAATCCCGGGTCTGGCAAAGTATTACTGGGTTTAAAAATAAATCTCAGTAGTAGCACGGAGTCTGGAATTGTGCCCGGTATATGGAAATAGGCTCACCCCCTGTTACATGGCACTCATAACATTAATAGTGAAAAGTCGGTGTAACATTGTACAGTGGCATAATGTGCACCTCCGCCTACTCCTTCTGGGATAAAAGGCGTGATATTATGTTATGCTTTTTTCATCTAATAATGCTTTTAACTTCATTTGGTTTGTTTAAGTTTATAGGCTAGTTAAACCTATAACCGGTTTAGCAGCTTCATTTTAGTATGTACCTACTGAATTTTTTATCCTATTATGAGGCTGATGTTTTTCTCTTAGAAAAAAGCCCTACTTTTAAAATAAAGATAAAATACACTTTATTTAGAGATATGTAACGGAAATGATAGGTTTTGAAATCTACAAAAGTATCTTTAACAAATAAGCAGTGTCACATGGTAGTTATCCACCAGTAGTGTGTTTCAGAATCGCAAGAAACCGATGGTTAGGGGAAGTTTTAAACCGTACCGTAGCCATACTTTAAGGCAGAAAAATGGGGAGGCCTATAACAAACAGTGCCTGAACATGGACTAACAAAAGTGGGCAACCTATACCCAGTAATGGGTGATTCTGAGCTGAATGATGAGTTAATATGAACACGTACCATTTCCCCTGCATGGTTTCTCTCTTCATCATTTTCATTGAGTTCTTTCACGAGCTCGATATGGCCCAGCATGGCCTCTCGTTTCTTACGCGCCTGTTCAGCTGCATCACGACGTTTTTCTGGAAAATATAAACAAAGAATTGGTAAATAATTTACAATTAGTTTAACTCGTCGAGTACCGGGTTTGTAGTGTGTCTATAATGACGGTACTCTACGAGTTAATATGCACATTTATAAGTACTGCCAAATGTTCCACTAAAACTAAAAACAAATTAATTAGATATGCTAAGAAAGACGAATCACGAAACAATTTCACGAACATTATTTTAACGGCTTTGTGACTAAAACGTGCCAGCAACGGCGGAGGTGATAATTCTCGCGAAACTATTGTTTTACGTGATTTGGAAGAATGCCAATCGGAAGAAAATACGAACTATCATAAAATAAAAGAAAATGGGTCGGGTTTACCCACATATCGTGACATGAATAGGTTCGATATAAAGGTGCGCCCTCACCGGGAGCATTTGCGTGTAATGTAACGTCACAGATCCGAGCATTGCATTAGTGAAGGAGGAGAACCGAGCAATACCTCTACAATGCGCACCTTAATGTGGAATATCTTGATACAACGTGTAACATCAATGCGCTCCACTTCCCCCAGTCCCCTCGCCCGTCCGCTTCGTCTGACATATTGCTATGAAATGATCAAAGTCGAATCAATATGTTACATTACATGCAAATGCTCGTTAGTCAGAGAGGTAATATTGTAATGTAATGCTCAAAGTCGAATCTATAATGTTACACTACACGTGAATGCTCCCGGTTAGGGAACCTCTTAACTTGTCGAGTACCGTCATTATAGACACAATTATAGAACAATAGGTTGCGGTCACCGGTGACCGCTTGGTGTTTGACAGTTTAAGGGGAATAACTACTGTCTCCCATAACACCAGCGTATAGTAGGATCATTGTAAAAAAATCGTCTTAACACCAGACCCCAACCACAATTATATTTTTTACAAATTACTTGGTACGCGTTGTGGTGGCCCGGAGGTTAAGACACCCGCTTCTCATACATGAGGGTTTAGAACCTACCAACGGCAAGTACCAATGTGACTTTTTCCAAGTTACATGTACTTTCTAATATTATCTAGACACCACTGACAAACAGTGAAGGACAACATCGTGATGTGAACTGAACATAAAATTATTTCTAATTATAAGTTTGAAATCGGACCCGCATTGAGCATGCGTGGCGATTAATGCTCAAACGTCGCGAGAAGAGGCTTTGCTCAGCAGTAAGCTCTTATAGGCTGATGACGAGTGTATGAGTGTCATCACAACGCAATGTTGTGGCCCAAGAAATTATAGGATTGTTCACAACTGCGTTAACGTTATCATCATCATCACACCAGGCGAAGAGGAGTACAGTGGACGTAGTGTTAAAACTTTATTTCTTTCCATGATTTTCAAATAATGTATCTGCTGTTAAATGACTGCATTACAATTATGTATTCCTGCATTATCTATTTATAACATAGACAGTATAAATAGCAGAGCGATAAAGTGTTCCGGGACAATAAATTAAAGCGTTTTTATCGAAGAACAATTGATTACGATGTTATTATAAATACTTTGTAGCGCAGCATACTATTATTATTCCCTAACGCATAGTGTAAGTAGAATTGTATAGGTATTAACAAAGCCTACACGTTTAATCCTATACTCCATCCCCAAATCCCTAATCCTCAGACCCCTGAACTCTAAAATGTCGGTACACATCTCACATCATACTGACGAAAGGCGTCCTCTCTCACGAAGAAAGTTTGAGCATGAATCACCACGCTTGCTCAATGCGAGTCAGCGATTACATAATTAGAAATTATAAGCTCAGGGTGCTTATTCTCGAAACCAATCTCAATGTCAATGCAATTTCAATCAAATAATATCTCGATAATAATTATTCAATGTCAAAACTAAACAACCCCAATCGTAGCTATTACAATAGCATTCAGGGTACGGAATATAAATCAAAACTCAATACCATTTAGTTGATTCAATATCCACGCAATACGGGTGCAATGGCGCTAGTGTTGCAACTCAAGAGTACGAAATTTTACAATACCAATGTCGATCGATCGGAATTGGATTCAAGAGTAAGTCCCCAGGTTTCTTCACGATGTTTTCTTTCACCCTTTATGCAACATCTGCAACGCACTTGCAAATCATCTGGTATTGTGGGTCTCCATAGATAGCGCCAAATGTGGATCAGTTGATGCGTATATTAGTATGTCTTATCCCATAAAAAGTGGCCTATGTACTCTAGCGACATCAGAGGCATTATTATTACAAGCACGTTACCGATCATGTAGAAATTCAATTACACCTTTTAATTTTTAAGTATTAGTGCAAACCACTCTATCAGAACAGCACTTTATGATCAAACTTATCGCGGACAACCTAACGGGTTACCGGGGCTCCGGTTCGAAGTGCAGGAGAAGGAACGGGATGGTTTTTAGTCAGTAAGAGTCTGACACTCCCTCCCACCTCACCCGGGCGGGAGCAGTCATTCGAACATTTTAGTCATTTTAACCCCTTAAAAACATGCGTCAAACTTTGATATTAAGCTACTCACGTTCTCTCTGCGACCTGTTCTTCTCCTCGTCAATGGCTTCCACCAGCACTCGTCGCAGCCTGTCCAACTCCTCACCACTGCCCGTTACTACCGACATGATGTCCGGCTTCGATTTGGTTGCTGGTGTCTGTAATTGTGTAGTGAACAAAGTTTCAGACATGGCATTAAATGAATGTAAAAACTCACACTCTCTCACAGAAAACCGACGTGAAGCAACGCTTGCGTTGTGTTTCGTCGTGTGAGTGAGGTTACCGGAGGCCCAATTACCCTAATCTTCCCCAATCTCCCCAATTCCTGAATCCCCAACGATCCTCAAACTCCTAATCCCCAAAAGGCCGGTAACGCACTTGTAACGCCTCTGGTGTTCCAGGTGTCCATGGGCGACGCCGATTGCTTACCATCAGGTGATCCGTCTGCTCGTTTACCGGGTTATGCCATAAAAAAGGATACTTATGGAGTACAAAATAATACATGGTAGTTCAGCAATATAAAATATTTTTTATGAAACCAGTTTGATAGTTCACTGTGTTGCTCAATCTCTGGTTAAAAATAAACATCTTTAACTTGTCGAGTACCGTCATTATAGACACAATTATAGAACAATAGGTTGCGGTCACCGGTGACCGCTTGGTGTTTGACAGTTTAAACTGTGTGGGCTCTCATGAATTAAGTCTGCTCACCAATACTCTACCGGTAAAAAGAAGATCGACATTTACCTCCTCTTCATATTCGACTCCCATGGTCTCGTGCAGCTTTATCAGCACCCTCTTCCCCTTGTCTCCGAGTGCCTGTAGTCTGTGCAGTACATCTTCAAATACTTCTTTTGAATTCGGCTCCGTTCCGTCTGTTGGACTCTGCTGAAAATGTATAGTCAAAAATTATTTTTCGGCTGATTACTTACTTTATAGTTTCTAAGAATATCTCCCGAAACTGAAACCTGTCATCAATAATTATTGTGGTCTGTACCCGGGCCAGTGGCCTAACTGCGGTAAAGCGTCTCTGCTAAAGGGATTTTAGTTAAGGTCTTCAGCATGGTACAGCAGCAGCCGTTTTCACTGTATTTAACTACATTTCGTATTTTTGTATTTTGAAACGGTGCAAATAAACCACTTTTCATTTTCTCTTCTTATTTTTACTAAAGAATCTCAAGAATACTGCAGATAAAAATCAGTTAAAAATTGTTTACCTTGTACTTCTGAGTTAAGGTAACAGTTAGAAGAAACTGATTCTAAAATGTTTTTAGTTTTATCTACATGATACAACTTTCAACTTAACTTGATTGACCCCTTAGAAAGGAATTTCAATCATAATGTACCAAGCTATAAAGTCTTAAATACTTTTTGCCTGTGATAAAGTGTTGCTGATGTTTCCTGAACCGGTTAAATCAAGTTTGAACCAATTATTCTTGTTCTTCTTATCAAAATGTCGCACATTAGGTAATGAAAAAGGAAACGCGTCTTAAAAGATATTAGCTCAATGTAAATGTTCTACTTATTCAAATAAAATACTTGCCAACATAATGACTGTAATGTCTACAAATATTGACAGAACCAAATAAATATTTTGTTTCAAAGTTATGCCAAGAACATCATGTGTTTTGATTCGGTTTAAAAATAATGTCATAGCATTTTTGTTATCTACGTCTATTGCTTAGAGAGGCTGTGATAGAGAGAAAGTTGCATTACTTTTTTTGGCGTAATATAATTTAATTCTATTAACAATTCTGCAAAGAGTTCTGTAGTCATGGCAGAATCGCTGGAAGATCTTGACATTATGAACGACGACGTCTGTAGAGTTTCAACAGGCTCGGCTTCGAATGGACGTGAATAAGATGAAAGTGTGGCAGAGCCATGCCTTGGCACGAATGGGCCGGCTCGACCGGAGTGATACCACGGACTCACAGAAAACCGACGTGAAACAACGCTTGCGTTATGTTTCGTCGTTTGAGTGAGGTTACCAGAGGCCCAATTACTCAAACTCCTAATTCCCCAAAAGGCCGGTAATGCACTTGTAACGCCTCTGGTGTTCCAGGTGTCCATGGGCGACGCCGATTGCTTACCATCACCTGATGAACGATGTGATGGATCAGGTAATCCGTCTGCTCGTTCACCGGCTTATGCCATAAAAAATGAAAGTCATGTCGAACGATTTTAATACTTCTTTCACCATTAGAAAGAACTAGTTAAACAGTAAAGTAACCTTCGGAGATCAATCTTCTGAAGCACACAAAGCCCCGAGCGAAAACCAAGAAGTAAATATTGATACTATTCTAACAATTCAATTGCGTGTGTAAGAAAATCTCTCAATTGTTTTATTGTATACTCAGGTGGCAGGTCGATGCACTAGACAAGAAGATTACCTACACGAGTAACGAACTGTAAGTATGTATCTATATTAATATTGTTAATAGGATAGTGTGTGTCTGTTTATTTGTCTGTCTTTCACGGCGAAATGAAGGGACGAATTGACATGATTTTTTAAGTGAACATGGTTGAAGGAATGGAGGGCGACATAGGCTAATCTTTGTCTCTTTCAAACCACCACTTCAATAAAATAGGCGGTAATAGTTTGTGTCGAGTAGGTATTCCATAATTTTTTAGGTAGAAGGCAACAAATTGTTATGTAGGCTGGTTTGTGATCAACAAAAAAGTCGTGCATGTTTTTTTTTTTGAAAAATTAACGTCAACTGATTTATCAGGGTAAAAATTTGCTAGGCTATTTAATTGTGTTTTTTTTATGGGATAAGTCGGTAAGTGAGCAGACGGATCACCTGATGGCAAGCAATCGGCTCAGCCCATGGACACTTGGAACACCTGAAGGCGTAACAAGTGCGTTACTGGCCCCTTGGGATCCGGAACTTGAGGATTTTTGGGGACTTAGGGATTGGGAAAGGCGGGGAGGAGTAATTAGGCCTACCGGAGGCCAGAAATACCCCACGAAACACAACGCAAGCGTTTTTACACGTGAGTCTTTAACTGACAATGTAACTTTTAATTTAAAAGAACAAATTGAACTCAATCGCGGTCCGCCATGTCGTTAGTTGAGATAATAGTTTTGACCAATAACAGGCGAGAATGCAATCGAGTTCACTTTGAAAGTTCCAACTGACAGTTTCAGAATAGCCTAGCTAGCTGCTTCTTTGTTACATTGTATACGATCAATAGACGCATCAGGTGAAACCATGTGCTAGTCACTAGTATAAAGCTAGTTTAATGACATAAAGACAAACACTGAGGCTTTGATTAGAAGATTTCCTATCTAAACAATAGATTCGTGATGCAATGGAAAGTTCCTTATCTCAGTTGATTCCTGTTATCAAGGCGGTAATCCAATGTATTGTCTTACTAACGACATTATCAATATTTGGGTTACATTTACAATGTTACGTTTTGTTGAATAATTGTTGGACATATTTAAATTTGTCATTCAATGTCTGATCTTCTTGTGTAAGGGTGTCCACGAGGCAAATGACGATAGACGTATTTGTCGTTCCCGTTTCGTCGACAGATTTCATTGTTTATAAGCAAGATGCAAGCATTTGTCATTTGATATTAAGTGTCTTTAATATTATTTCGTTTTGGTTAGATTGAGTACGATATTGACCATTTGCCATCTGCTATTATTATGAAGAGATTTTAAAATAACATCCAATTAAGATTTTAAGTCAGCATTCGATATTAAGTAAAGGTCGAGTTAGGATGGTCTCTCCACCTGCGTGTGTAGATTGTATCATACCACGCGTTTCATTCCAATTTCTTGGGCATATATTACGTGAAAGAATGACAAATGATACTATATATATACTATGAAAAATGTTATTGACTTACCTTAGTTGTATAATCCGTAGCAACAATTTTCAGATCACCCTGTGTATCTTCTACTTCTACAGATGTTAATTCTTCTTCATTTTCTACTATGACTAAATTATCTTCGTCCTTGACGTTTTTATTATTATCTGTTTTACTTTTTTCTTCTTGACTAGTTAAAACTTTGTTATTTCCTTCTGGCTTTTTGATACTTTCTGTGGTTGTTTTGACTTCTGTTTTACCTAGTAATTTAGTTAATAATAATGGTGTAGTACTAATTGGTTTATCTTCTTTGACAGTTCCGTGTTTGCCTTCAGTAGGCACAGTCTCTGTTGTAGTTATTTCTAGTTTTGTTAATATTTCGCTGGCATTGCCGTCGATATCTGGAAATAGGAGATTTTTAGATTTACTTATAGTGTCTGCTTCGGTAGCCGAGTGGTCGCAAGTACGACTGCCGGGCAAGGAGTCTCGGGGTCGCTTCCCGGGTCGGGCGAAGTATTACTGGGTTTTTTAAAATATCTCACTAGAATTGTGTCCGGTATATGGCAATAGGATCACCCTCTATTACATGGGACTCATAACATAAATAATAAAAAGTGGGTGTTACCACATTTTACAGAGGCAGTAAGTGCCGCAATGTGCACCTCTGCCTATCCCTTCGGGTATAAAAGGTGTGATGTTATGTAATTATGAAAGTTTGCATTTGTTTATTAAGAGGCGATATATTCGATTTTTGTTTTTTTTTTAGTACAGTTGTTGTTGAACATCTTTATTAACAGATATTCACAGAATCTGTTGAGTTCACGATGACTTACGAAATATTATCGCAATTTTATTAACTATATCTTGGCGCACGTCGCTCCAAAAACAAATAATCGTTGCTACTTTATCTAGAAGCTTTTATTGATGTGTTATGAAAAATATTACATGCTTAGTATCAAAATTGGGATTGTAGGTTTTTTAAACATCAGATAGTGCCTATTTTTAACGGTAGTTATCAAAATTATTATATTGGCTTCAGACCTTAGTTACAATGATATTATTATTTAACCAGAATCTCGGCATTTTTACCCCTTCTCATGCGAGAGAGTGCGGGCTTGAAACCTACCAACGGCCAGTACTAATGTGATTTTTTCGAGCTATATGTACTTTCTAAGATTATCTAGACACCACTGATAAACGGTGAAAGAAAACATCATGAGGAAATCTATATACCTATTATTTCTAATTACAACTTTGGAATCGCCAACCCGCATTAAGCAAGCGCGGTGATTAATGCTCAAATCTTCTCCGTGCGAGGAGAGGCCTTTGGTCAGCAGTGGCTACTTATAGGCTATTGATAATGAGGCAGTATTGTAAGGGTATAAATCATCCAATGACTCCTCCTGCCCTGAGGAAGTTGAGAGGTCAGACCCTTACTAAAATTAAAAAGTACTCCGTTCCTACTCCTGACTGAAGCCGGGGCTCCGTAACTCGAGTAGGTTGACCTGAAGAACGTCAAGTTCATAAGAAAGTATTTCTGTCTGTCCACCTATCTGATTACTTATCTCATATAAGTATGGGAGAGCCATGCTTCGGCACGAGTGGACCGGCTCGATCGGAGTGATACCACGGCCGAGCAGAAAACCGACGTGAAACAACGCTTGCGTTGTGTTTCGTCGTGTGAGTGAGATTATCGAAGGCCCAATCACCTTACTCCCCAACCTTCGAATCCCTAACAATCCTCAAATTCCAAATGCCCAAAAGGCCGGTAACGCAATTGTAACGCCTCTGGTGTTTCGGGTGTCCATGGGCGGATGCGATTGCTTGCTGCCGATAAGGCTCGTTTACCGGTTTATACCGTAAAAAGACTTCATCTTCATTCGTTTTAAAATCTGATGTAATATTATCACCCATTTCTATTATTTTAATATGAATTTCTCTACCACTATCTTTAGAATTACGAAATGTTGTATTGGTCTATCAATACATCAACGTATCAAGATAAATCTAAATATATAAGACTGCAGCTATCAAATTGCTCAGCCTACTGATATAGTCCTAAAACATACACGTTTAAGATACATTTTCTTTGACATTCAAATGAAGAGTCATAGGGATTATGGTATTCAATGCTGTCAACTTTATCGAGAATTTCGGAATTTTACTATCTCAGTAATCTATGGTATTTTATGTTTTTATTAGCATACATTGTAATTGTTATCGTTTAGAGTTTTTTTAAGAGATAGTGTAAAGTGTCATGGTGGCCCGGAGGTTTAAGACGCCCGCTTCTCATGCATGAGGGAGCGCGTTCTAAACCTACCAACAGCAAGTACCAATGTGACTTTTTCCGAGTTATATGTACTTTCTAAGATTACTAGCTTTTACCCGCGGCTTCGCTCGCGTCACAAAAGGATAAAAAGTAACCTATGTGACATATACACACAGCGCCATCTATACTAATGATTTCGTTTTTCCTCGAGAATATAAAATTTTTCCGGAATAAAAAGTACCCTATTATTTAATCCAGACTTCTAACTTTACGTCTACAAAAATTCAAAGCAATCGGTTTAGCAGTTACGGCGTGAAAGCGGAACAAACAAACAAACAAACAAACTCACTTTCCGATTTATAATATTAGTAAGGATAAGGAAGTAAGGATTTAGACACCACAGACAAACACAAACGGTGAAGGAAAATATTGTGAGGAAACCTGGGCTTATAATTTCTAATTATAAGTTTGTAATCGCCAACCCGCATTGAGCAAGTGTGGTGATTAATGCTCAAACCTTCTCCGTGTGAGAAGAGGCTTAACTTAGCATTGTCCAGCTATAGACTGTTGATGATAATACAATTGAGTAACTTGAGAAGAGGTAAAAGACCTAAGATGATAAGAAAAATCCGTGAAGTCCATTGAAGCATATAAAATGTAGGGAGGCTTTACAGGCGAGGTACAGATAAACAAAATTGGAGTGTCTGTTTGTAATATTAAAATATCCACGTTTTACTACATGCACATGAATATACATAGGATACATATACCAAGATAACATTTTTTACAATTTTGTCTGTCTGTTTGTTTATACTGGGTAATCTCTAGAAGCGCTGGACCGATTTTGCAAGACTTTTATTGGCAGGTAGGTGATGTACTAAGGAGTTACATAGACTACTTTTCTTTTGAAAAATTAAAACAATAAAAGGTATTTTCTAATATTCGTATTGTACGCGGACGAAGTCGCGGGTAACAGCTAGTCATTCATAAGTAAACTGGAATAGTAAATAATGCAATTTTGTTTTTTGAGGTGTATAACTATGCTTAGTATTTTATGAAAATTTTCAAAAAAAAATGGTGTTACCTTGAAAAGAAATCCATTTTCTTTCTTCCTTATCGACATTGGCATCCCTATGCCTGTGCAGCGCCGGTAGAGACATGATGTTTGATGGTGGCCTGTAGTTCTTAGCTATCTGGATCTTCGCAGCTTCTCGTAGAGCGTGGAGACGTTCTAGAATTTCTCGAAGCTCCTAGAAGTTAAGTTTCATCATTGTCATTATCACAAAATAGGCGGTACGTCTCCCTCAATGACTTCTATCAGTGATCTGCATACATAACTTAAGGTAAGGACTCTTGGTTTTGTTTTTTTCTATTTTAGTATGTTCTGTTATTTTTATGTTGCGTCAGGTATGTCTTTACATTATTCTCACATTTGTGTACAAGATTGGAATATGTACCAGAGCAACGTAAAACAGACTATTTTTAAAAGAGTAACGAATGGAGTTTCTTGCTCGTTCTTCTCCACTCGAATCGACATTTTGGAACGAGCGCCTAGCTTCACTGACGGACAGACTGACAGACTATTATATATTTCATATTTGTTGACGTTTCAAAAGTACCAAATTATGGTTTAATTGAAATAAATGCTTTTGAGTTTGAGTTTGAGTTTGGTAGGTAAGACAGATATTTTCTGGGATCATTAATCATGAAAGTCTATAATTATCATACAACTGAGTGTGGGTGTGAGTATCATACATGTCGTGATGGCTCGGAGGTTTAAGACGCCTCTCATGCACGAGAGTGCGGGTTCGAAACCTACAACGAAAACAGCAAGTACCAATGTGACTTTTTCCGAACTATATGTACATACTTTCTAAGATTATCTAGACACCACTGACAAACGAAAAAACATCGTGAGGAAACCCAGGCTTAAAATTTCTAATTATAAGTTTGAAATCGCCAACCCGCATTGAGCAAGCGTGGTGATTAATGCTCAAACCTTCTCTGTGAGAGAAGAGGCTAAGTTCAGCAGTGGGCATTTATAGGCTGATGATGATGATTATACAACTGCGACCAGATATCGTGGGCTCTCTTTAATTTTCAGGACCTAACTTTGTACTCCAAGTCACCCCCGAAGCGTGTGTAATGTGGATTATAATGGCAAACATCTTCTAACGTCTTCAACCACCATTGTTCCGCAATGAATGTCTTCTCGCTGATGATGGCTATATTCCAGAATTTTCTGGATTAAGAGAAATGGTTGAAGAACAACAAATAAGTTTTACTTATTAATATACTTTTCTCTTACCTTAGGATCATGGTCAGTGACGTCTACTGTGGCTAAGTTTTCCGATGATGTTGATGTCACGTTCTCATCGACGTGGTTCTTCGGATCATGGAAACTGACGCCAGACTTGTGTCTCTTCATGGTTTCTATTGATGAAAAGTGAATTATTAAATTTTTTGTGAGTTATCAATTGTTTTTAAACAATAATGTCTTTTTATCGTTACTTGAATTCGAATGTGGTTTTGATACCCTCTATTAGAGGTATGTAATTTATACTGTATTTCGTTTTCAGTGATTCTGATTGTTAATAATATAACATAACATCACGCCTTTTATCCCCGAAGGGGTAGGCAGACACATTATACTACTGTACAATGTAACACCTACTTTTCACTATTTATGTTATGAGTCCCATGTAATAGGGGGTGAGCCTATTGCCATATACCGGGCACAATTCCAGACTCCGTGCTACTACAGAGAATAAAAAAAAACCAGTAATTCTTTGCCCGACCTGGGAATCGAACCCGAGACCGCCGGCAGTCGCACTTGCGACCACTCGGCCAGCGAGGCAGTCTGATTGGTAATAAGGAATAATAATATCAGTTTTTTATCATTTATTTTCTTACAACATAATTATCTATTTCATTGTCACTCATCACCTCATCATTCTTTTCGCTTTCATTACCGCTTTATTCATCCAATAAAAACTTTGATTTGAAGTAGCTTTCTCTATACCTGATGAAACAACGCTTGCGTTGTGTTTCGTCGTTTGAGTGAGATTACAGAAGGCACAATTACCTCCTCTCTCCCTTTCCAATCTCAAAATACTTACTTCCTTACTATCCTTACTAATATTATAAATTGGAAAGTGAGTTTGTTTGTTTGTTTGTTCCGACTTCACGCCGTAACTACTAAACCGATTGCATTGAATTTTTGCAGACGTAGGTATAGTTAGTAGTATGGATTAAATAATAGGGTACTTTTTATCCCGAAAAAATTTGATATACCCGAGAGAAAACAAAAGTATTGGTATAGATGGCGCTGTATGTATTGGTAATACCAATTTGGTATTTGTCACATAGGCTACTTTTTATCCTTTTGTGACGCGAGCGAAGCCGCGGGTAAAAGCTAGTCCATAATAATTCCTCAAATTTCTAAAATGTTGGCAACGCACTTGTTACGCCTCCGGGGTTTCGAGTGTCCATTACCGGCGACAATTGCTTACCATCAGGTGATCCGTTTGCTCATTTACCGGCTTAATATATAAAAATACCTACTTAAAACTAACCTGGATTATTGACTTTTCCATTCTCCACTTTCAGTTCGGATATTTTTTTATTCAGCGCATCATCAGATAGAAGACCGAGTCTGTTGGCTTCGATTAGTTCATTGATCTCTTCTGAAGAGTCATCGCCTATATAGGCGCAGTCTTGTAGGTGCTTGTAACCTTTAATCATGATGAGGGATGCACCAGGGTAGCTGGAAGTAAGATCGATAGATGATAAAGAGCATCCGCTGTTTTATTTTCATATGAGATAATTAGGACATGTAAAGTATTGATTGTTAGAAAGAAATTGGATTCTCAATGGCGTGCAAAGGACAGAAATACAATTTTGTAGTTCTGTGGCCGGAACTGGAGAGGTTGTTTGAGCACTAAGATTATAATCTGTTATCAGAAGATGATAATAAATTCGTAATCTTTAAATTGATGTTGAAGAAATTTGAATATGAAAAAAACCTCACAAATAATGAAGTTGGTAAAACTTGTTACTTGACTGATTTATCTAAACCAATAAAATCTGATTAAACAAAATTAACTGCTAAACATAAAAAAATTGACTGCACAGTTGGTGCGGTGGCTGGGCAACCGACTGCCACGCAACGTGCCGCGGTTTCGATTCCCGCACGGAACAACTCTTTGTGTGATTCTCAAATTGTTGTTTCCGATCTGGGTGTATGTGAACCTGTATGTTTGTAAACGTACCCAAGACACAGGAGAATATCCTAGTGAGGGTTGCCCAACACCAGAATTTTCTATAAAAAATACTACATTCATTCTGTCTCCTGCAGTAATTCACCGAGGGAAGAGAACACTATAGTTTTTTTTCCTCTTATAATATATCTTTTGATTCACTTCGTTGCGGGAACCAAGACAGTTACTCATGTCCCTGGGACGCGCCGGACTTCAGTGTTCCGGTGTTTTCATGGTTGTATCTACTGTAGATCCTGGCTTACAGGAGTTGCAGCGGTTTTGGGATATTGTGGCGAGTACGTCCCATTTAAAAAAAATACTTGGAAAGAAATCTGAGACCCTTTTTGCTCATCAGCTAATCAAACATCATCAACAGACAAAAATAGCATCACAATCTCACCTCACACAAGCAGACACGGTGACCGAGGATCCCTTCAACAGATAGAACCCCCAGTACTCCTTCATATCATCGTCTAGCTCCAGCTCCCTCGTCATGGACACTGGTACTAGCTCGTCAGTCAGCTCCGGCGGGCCAGGCACCACGAACGCATTGAACGTCGTGTTTGAACGCACCACTTGTCTCTAATAGAGAAAAAAGATTAGTGTATTGAAATACGGAACAGTCTAATTCTTATAATAACTATTATTAACTGAAAATGACGAGTTATGCATGTAAATATACTGAGAACAGCTCTACTAGTTTCGAGTAATCGAGTCAGACAAGTTGCGGCTACCGCGCACGCTACTCATGAGGAAGAGTCCCTCTGTATACCTACCGTATTATGTGTCCACATAATAGGGTAGATGGCTAATTTTTATTTTAATGTCTGTCTGGTAGATTATTGAAAAACATTGGACACGTATTTTTTATTTTCTTACGGAAATTAAGTATAGTTTCGTAGATATATTGATTTGAAATATCGCATGACGTCACTTTTGAGTACGATTTATACTCTAAAATGACGTAGCTACCTCCCACTTCTAAACTTTGATTCGTTTTATCTATAATAAGTATTGTTTTAATATACGACAAAATAAAAAAAAATACGTGTCTAATTATTTTTTCATTATCTAACTGACGGACTAATTAGATTTTTAATTTTTATACACTGTCGTCATCCCTTTTATACGTGGTTGTCATAAATTCAATGCTTCTTAGGGGGATTCGGGACTGCAGTTGGATAAGTTGAGGTTATAAATCCAAAAATTATGTGGATATTCCTGCCCACTACTACACCTACTGATTCAAAGTCTGCAGCCTACATGCTTACTTACAAATTCAAAGTCAAAGCATTTATTTCAATTAAACCATAATTTGGTACTTTTGAAACGTCAACAAATACAAAATAAATACTAGTCTGTCACTCAGTACGTCAGTGAAGCTAAGTGCTCATTCCAAAATGTAGATTCGAATGGAGAAGAACGAGCAACAAACTCCATGCGTTACTATTTTTAAAAAAAGTATGTTCTACAATGTCTACACACTTAATAACAACTTGTAAAACATATATTTTTGTGTTTGAAACTAACTATATTTAAAGATAAACTGAACAAGATAACGTTATCGGTCGGAACATTAAAAATTGTACTTCTTTGATACAGCTAATTTGAATTATATTATTGGTAAGTTAAAGAGCATTTTAGTGTGTAAGAAAAATCGTGTTAACGTAATCGTATTTAGTATTTCTTTCTTAATAGTCTAAATTGTTGTTAACTTGAAGGAAATTAGGTAGTTTCCAGGGTATCAAAATTAAAAATCAAATTAGTCCGTCAGTTAGATAATGAAATAATATTAGATGCGTATTTTTTTTTCTCGTATGAAGTAGCAATACTTAGATAAATAGCTAGTTTTAGGAGTGGGAGGTCGTTACGTCATAACGTGCTACAAAATGTGGCACGCTGTGACGTCACACGTCAAAAAAAAATATATTAATTTGAAATATCCTTTTTTTTTTTTTTTTTTTTTTTG